CCCCAGCCAGCAGGCTGGCTGGGGAATCCTGGGAGTTGAAGTCCACACACTCTGGCTGGGGAATCCTGGGAGTTGAAGTCCACAGGTCTCAGAGTGGCCAAGTCTGAGAAACCCTGGCTCAAAACCTAACAATCCAGGTTGGGGTCCTGGCTGTCTCTACACAAAGCAAATTACCTTCCTTGTTCTCCAGGATGTTGGGGGCAAAGCCCCCTTCGTCACCCACGTTGGTGGCATCTTTGCCATACTTCTCCTTGATGACATTCTTTAGGTTGTGGTACACCTCCGCACCGATGCGCATGGCTTCCTTGAAGCTCTCCGCCCCAATAGGAAGAATCATGAACTCCTGCATTGCCAGCTTGTTCCCAGCGTGAGAGCCACCGTTGATCACGTTGAAAGCCTTGGGGGACGTCAAAGATCCCAGAAAGGCGGCTTAATACACAAACCAGGGAAAGAGGCCAGCCTGCACCCATTCAAGTTTCTAGTCCTTAACACTCCGAAGTGCCTCCCCTAAATTGAGAGCTTCCAGGGATGATGCTGGAAAGCCGTTCCCATTTCCCAGGAAATGACAACTCCAGGGTCTGAGAACAGTGACAGTTCACACCTCCAACCCTCAACGTGGCGCTTGCACACGCAGAAGGATTGGAGGAGGCTGGGGTCTGCATCAAGGCAGGGCTTTTCCATTTTTCCAGACTCTGGAATTTGTTTAAAAAAATAAAAATCACTGCAGCCCCCAATCGAGAGAGGCAGGGCTTCCACTGTTCTTTACTGACCAAAGGGGGAAAACTCCCCACGAGGGACTAAGGGAAAATAAAATTCTCTGCAAGGGATTGACCAAGTCAGGCATTTGTGCTCAAGGATTTTATCCGCAGCTGCACCTCTGGCCCAGACCTTGCCTTCTGCACGGCGCAGCTACCTAAACTTACAGGGACCGGCAGAATAACTTCTTTGTTCCCAGCGAGATCAGCAATGTGGCGATACAAAGGGATGTCCTTCTCCGCTGCACCAGCCTTGCACACGGCGAGGGAGACTCCCAGAATTGCATTTGCACCAAATTTAGCTGCCATAAAGGGGGAAAAAAAAGGGGGGGTGTTATTTGCTTGCAATAAGCTCTCCTTCGCAGGCTTTGCTGCCTCCCAGAACACACTCCTAATACGCGGCATGTTTAAAATTAAGACGAGCAGAATGATGCTGGCCTTTGGCCGGAATAAAGTTTGTGTTTGTTTGACTTGTGAAAAACATGTCAGTTTTCCTTCTCGAGCCCTGTGGCTTTTGTGATTAAGCAGGGCCACCGGTAGCATCTCTAGCTGCCATGAAATCCTTAAAAAGCCTCAACCACCAGTAGGGGTGGACAACTAGGAGGCAGCGTATCAAATCCAGGCCTCTCTCATTGCTAACTGTTTGACGCTCCCTCCCCATATGTGATGGAATGGAATGATGAAGGCCAAGCTCAGGGAGATAAACGTTTTCTTAGCTCGCCAGGACCGCGTGGGAGGAACAAGAGGACGAGACTGGCACCTCCCTGAGGAATTCACACTGTTGTGGCTGGAGGACTTTGGGATCTGGGCTTTTAGTCTGGGAAGATTCTTGCTAGAGGTTGTAGCTAATAAACATAGCTGGACAGAACTGGCATGGTCTCTTGGAGTTCCTTGGGCTAGGCCTGATACTGTATTTCTTTGCAGAGGCTTGTGTCAGGAACGGGAAAACATGTAATTACAGGATTTCAAATCCTTCCCCCCCCCCCGCAAAAGGAGGGAGCATGGTGTATCTGACCCGAAGACATAGCTGGTTTGGCACCCAGAGCGATAGTTCAACCCCGTTTACTTACACTTGTTCTCGGATCCATCCATTTCAATCATCAGCTTGTCAATTTTTTCTTGCTCCACCACACTTACATTCTGCGGGGGGGAAAAGGGAGATGAGAAAGTAAGGGAATTTCATCTTACAATCCCACTTCAGGCTTCCTGCGGGATCCAGGCTTCTTCCCAGCTGCCGTGGCTTCCAGTCCCAGTTTGTGACTTACGCTGTGTTAACCAGGAACCCTTAGCTTAAGAGGGATTCTCTGCTGCTTCTTCCAAGAGTGAAATATTGGATGATTTCACAAGGAATTAAACAGGTGGAAAACTGCTAATTTTTATGACAACTGAAAGTCTCCCTTTGGTTATTTGCATTCCTCTATATATCCTGCCCTTTCATTCCTCTTAGACATCTTTTACAGGTAGTCCCCGGGTTAAAAGTGCCCGGTTTAAGGACGACCCATAGTTAAGAACACAGCCAGTACAACAGGAGCAAAATTCAAGTTAAATACACAATGATTCCAGTTAAATACACAGTACTACTTATACAGTATTAGACATATTAGAATAATACTGTTCCGGCTTACGTACAAATTCGACTTAAGGACAGACCTTGGGAATGGGACTCATTCTTAAACTGGGGGCCACCTCTATTTCTTCTTGTAGAAAGTCTTTCCTAAAAGTATTTGATTTTTTCAAAACGTTTTAAAGTAAGGGAAAGACCAGTCCAGCCCTGGGAGAAATGCTCCACTGATGCTCGCCTGCAAAAACTACAATTCGTTTTCCATCTTTGGGCACGAAACTCAAGCATCGCGTCCCAGCCCCCCCCCACCCTTCCAAATTCATACGGGATGTTTTTTGCCCTTCTTAGCAACGCACCCCAAAAAGCAAGAGCTTTGCATCTTCTGAGAACCTTTCAACACGCACACACACACCCCCATGCAAAGGATTAAACACTCCAAGGAGCTTAGCCTGGGCTACAGGGTTAGTGAAACGAGGACCATGCCTACCTTGTTAACGAGCGCGGGTGCAATTGTTTTATTCACGTGCTCTACAGCTTTTGAGACACCTGCAAGAACAACCAAATCCATCACTAAAGCAAACCACTCCCAAAAAAAAAAGCAGGCGTTAGTGGGCGATCGCTCGGGCCGGCAGTCAGAACGTCAATCTCCTAGTCCTCAAGCAAGGAAACTCAAATGCGCAAGCCCGAGACTGTTAATTCCATTTTTCCGAACGGAACCGTTAGAGAGAGCGGAGAAGCATCATTCAGGGACGCCAGCGGGAAGATCGGCCCAAGAACCATGCAAAAAAGAAGTTGTCCAGAGGCCACGAAACAAGGGCACATCTGTTACCTGAGTGCACAGCGCTGGCGCCAGGAACATATTAATGTATTTAACAGCTCTGGAGACACCTGATGGGCACCAAGTTTGTGGAGGAAGGAGGAGAGAGAGAGATGGGGGAAAAAAGGAGAAAGATGAGCGCCCACAAGAGACAGAAAAGCACATCATGCACATCACAAAGGGGGGAGCGCATGAAATGCACAGCAAAAGAGACTATATCAGAGAGCGCGTATCTGGCAACAGTTTAACCCAGCCTCATTTTGCATCGGGCAACCTGACAAATTTGATGCCACTAAATGTAATCAACCGGGTATTCCACGGTTCTGCCGAAGATATTCAGAAAGTTCAAACCGCGGCTTGCGTTATAAAGCTGCGGCTCAAAGTTTCTTCCTGAATTTCTCGCCTATCCTTCGAGTTTAAGCCCGCTTTCCTTGCCCTGGAGCAAGGCGAGGAGAAGCGGCAGGACCATCTTTGAGCAGACATCAAACCCAACCGTGGCTTCCACGCCACTTCAACCAGCGTTTTGACAGCCGATTGCAAGACACGGTTTCATGCACCCGCGTGCTTCCATTTGGCAAATCTCGATGCAGAATTACGTTGCTTTTCTAAACCTGAAAAACCACCTATGGGGCCAATCGCTTCTTTTCAGTACAAGAAACCAGGATTTAGCCATGTTGTGCTGTGAACGGCTGACATTTGCAATCTCGCAGCGGTATTTGTCCGGGTGGGTTTTGACGTTTGTGGTTCGTGTTTGTAGCTGAAGTTACAGGTTCTACCTCGGAACTGGTTTGTGGACTTTAAAACGAGGGAACACGTCGTTCAAAGAATCCAGGCTTTTAATTACAATATAAAACGATACTCAAATTCAGCTCGCGACTCTTGAGCCGAGCAGAACGAAATCTCATTTTTTTTTCTCTGTTATCCCCAAAGGTACCTGCAAGCGCTAATCCCCTTTCTGCTCCCAGAAGAAAAGGATGGAAGACGCATGAAAAGGGGGTGGGGGTGACACACAGCCTCCTTATTCAATTTGGGCTCGTACTACGGTGCAAAGACCCAAAGCCGTTTGCAAGGAGGCATTTCTGGCTGAGCACGGTGGGTGAACAACACATTCAATAAATATGAAATTATCGGAGGGGCATTTGCAAAGCGGACCAGGCAGATAATTCAAACGTGAGGGCAACGCGGCCACCGCTGGCCAGAGGGCGTTACCTTTCCCCAGGAACCGCGTCTTGTCATTGTCACGAAGCTCCAGGGCTTCATAGATGCCAGTTGATGCCCCGCTGGGGACAGCTGCTCGGAAAAGACCTGGACCCGCAAGAAAAGGAGAAACCTGTTTGTTAATGACTCCTTTTTTTACAACCCAAAGTGGCCCGAGGCAGCCTTTCTCCAGCTCCTTGATGAAAAAAAAAATGAAGCCCCATTCTTAACTATGGGTTGTCCTTAAACCGGGCATTCTTAACCTGGGGACCACCTGCAATTTTATTATGTTATTATAGGTTATTTTCAGGCTTCAACACCCTCTTGGCAACAAGGCTGCAACGTGAGCACGCCTTCTCCCACATTTCTATCTGATTGCCCTCCAATTTAAGCCCAGACTAGCCCTCCCCATTCCCCAAACTCAGGTTGCCCACGTCCAGGGGGGATTTGGCAAATGCCCACCCCTGCTAGGGTTAGGGGCCCGCCCCAAATCCAGCCACGTATTCCTCTGATTGCTGCGGGACTTCGATGGCACCATCACAAATATCAGCCGTCCCTCCGACCACCAAACCCTCGGGGAGAAATTGGGGGAAATTTTCATCTAGGATTCCAAAAATCTAGAACAAATTTGGGGCTGGTGCATCCATCTATATGGGGACTCAAAAGGTTGCAGGCAGCCATAAATTTTAAAAAAATGATTAAATCCATCCCAAACTGCTGGAATAAAACCAGATTCTTCTTTTTGTCCCAGCAATCTGCCCAAAGACAGACCGAAGCCGTGCATTTGATGGCTTCAGACCCAGCCTGGCATTCTCCGTGTGCTTTGAACGCCAGCTCTCATCTGTCCCCGCCAAGAGCAAGGCATTGTGGGAGATGTAGTCCGAAGTAGGCAAAGGGTCCCAGGCAAAGAGACCGAGGTCTTCCTCCTGCCAGTGTCCCACTATGCAGCTGCTGGGGAAGGAAGGCGGAGGAAGCCTTCAGCGACTATTCAAGGCGACTAACCTTTCTTGGTGAAGAGGTCTACTTCAACGGTGGGGTTCCCACGGGAGTCGAAGATTTCACGGGCTTGGATCTTGAGGATGGACATTTTGTTGGTCTGAAGAGGGAAGACAAGGCGACAGACTTTCAGCTTTCAAAAACCCAACACAGCCACACGGTCCCGAAGAAGCCGGAAACGTGAAGCCGCAGCTTCTTCTCCTTGCAGAAAGTAAAGATCCTTGCGTTGCTAAGGCACGTCCCCGGCTGCAGTTCAGCAAACAAACTGAGGGCTAGAAACTTGGCCAGGCCTGTTTACAAGACTCCTCGGGGAAAACGTAGCGGCTGACACAACCAAAGCGCGCTTTGGGGGGGGGGCTTTAATCGGCCGTGCTCAGAATGCACAACTGCACCAGGGAGAGGCCGTTCAAAAGCTACGCAGTGCTGCTCCGCTTTGGTGCAAGATTGGACTACAACTCCCAGCAATCCCAGGCAGGCTGTTTTAGGGGAATTTAAAACAGCCTTAAAATGCATTTTGAATCATGAACATCCACCCCCTCTTACCCGTTACCGTAAGCTGTTATTTTTATACAGGCCGATCTTCCTTCTGATTACGTTCTATGCCACCCCAGGGCAAAAAGGGCAGAGGAACAATTATATCACAAAGAAAGGCCTTTTCACCACAATCTCACAACGCGGCCCATTCCAACCAACCCCCCCCTTCCCTCCGTGCCAAAATGGATCACACCAAGCCAGCCTTTGCAACCAAGGGTTTCCAAGACAGAACCCCTCGCTCTTCCCTCCTGCAAGGCACCAACCCAGAGGGACGTTCTCTTGCATTCGGATTAAGTCCTCTCTTGGCACAAACAGTGGTTTGATGGCTCGTCTTGGCTGCTCGAGAGCAAATCTCTCCCCAAGGCGCCTCCTCTCCCTGCATAGCCCTATTTCCAATCTGCAACCAGCCTTTCCCTTCTAGCCCACTTTGCTCCCTTCGGATAATGAGCAGTTCCCACCAAGGTCAAAAAAAGCAGAGAAACTCGCCCCCGCCCCCAGGATGTCCGAACCAACCAGATAGCCTCTCTTTACTCCTGATTTCCATGCACTTTTAATTTCTTTTAAAAAGACAAATTTGGATATTAATCCAGCACCCTACAGCATCCTGGACTGCCAATCCTTGCCCTTCTATTGCATTTCTGTTTATTGCATATGAAATTTTGGACAGAGCCCTTAAGGCAAGCCACCCAGAGTCACTGTTGCAATGTGGACAGCCCTAGCAACTGATTAAATTAAAAAACGGCTGACGGGTTGGACAGTATTTTGCAAAATGCAAAACAAGGGCATCCGTTGGATCTTTCTTTTAAAAAAAAAAGGCAGATCGCCATTATGCCCAGCTAGCCTGGCACTCAGACCAGGGTTTATGAGGTCCATCCACCTGGAGAGGCTAGATTAGAGACATCTGAGGCCAAGATCCAGATTCAGTCTGGCTAGGAAGCAGACCAGGTGAGGTCCTGGGGATCCACTGAAGGGCAGACTAAAAATCATAGTATTTTTGTTAGGGGGTTTACCGGAACAGAAGCCAGCGCCCGCCCGTGAATCGTTGCCCCAGCCAAGGTCACCTTCCAACGACGAGCCGCCCTGAAGACATTCATCAGGGCCGCTCGTGGAAAAGGGTGCCCGGCCGAAGAGCACGTGGCCGATTCAGGCCGCGCATGAATAAAATGGAGCCTCTCCCCGCAGGACGCAATCTGTGTTCCTGGAAACGCGCCCGCGGTTTCCAGCCTGCTCTGAAATGTCTTCGCCTGCCCTCTGACTCAGCGCTTCACCTAACTGTTAAAAAAAAAAAAAAAACCTTGCAGAAAATCAGTTCTGGAATCAGAATGACTCCCCTTTCTCTCCTTGCACACTCCATTCCCTTTATTTTCTGCAGAATCTGATAGAAAGGTTTTCCTCCTTTTTCCGCCTCCAAGCCTGAAGGGCACAGGTTCTCCTCTGCAGCAAAAAAATAAGATTGGCATCGCTTGCTCCTAACCCAGATTTCTCCAAGCCGCTTTCCAAATGTGCTGGACTACAGCTACCAGCATTCCCGGCCCTTCCGGAGGGCGATGGTGGGAACTGGAGTCCAGCAGAGCTGAAAAGCAGGATGGAAAAGCTCCCACGGACAGATCCAAAGAGAAAAAAAATCACGTTTGCTCTTTTTTCTTGAAAGCAACAGATTGCAGAGTTGTGGTTTGATACATGTCGCCCATTCTCTTCTCAGCCTCCTTGCTCTACTGTGATCTTTCCTTTTACCCATCGGCCTATTTAAAATCTTTTCTCCAAGCCCCTGTGATACCAGTATTTTGGGACTCGGCTCCATGCCAAAATCTAAAATGGAAACCCAAGTTCAACGCCACACCCAGTTGCAAGGCTCATGAAATCTCTTCCGCTCACCCCGGCCAAGCATCCGGGGCAGCTGTGGGGATAAAATTACAGTCCCCGGGAAGAAAAAAATGCTTTCAGCTTCCCAGAGGAAGATGAGCCTACCCCTGAGGTGCTAACTTTCTACTTTAGGGGTGCTTGCTTCAGCAAGCAATCCTGCCTCTTGGCTACAGGCCAAATCTATACTACCTTCTCAACTGTTGCACTGCCCCCCCCAAATCAGTGGGGTGAGAAGTTGCCCTGCCTCGTTGCAAAGCAATTCTAACTCATTAAACCAACTCTCAAACCTTCTGTCTCTCTCCAAATTAAGAAGTAAAAAAGGTGCATATTTCAAAGCCCTCTGGAAGGAGACAGGAGCCCTCCAACTGGGCCAGAAGGGATGCTGGGGCATCTTTCCCCCACCTGACCCTGGCTGGGAGTGCTAGGTGTCGGAGTCCAACCTCCCTGTAGGCCACCAGGTGGGGCCAAGCATTAAATATTCGGGAAGGCAGAAAGGAAGGGCAGGCCGTGTTACAAGCCTTCAAAGCAAAGGAGAGCGGGCACCTCCACCGCTCATCCTTGCACCGATCATTGCACAAGAAGAGTGCAAAGGAATTAGATGATGATGATTGCAAAAGGCTATATATCGGCCTCACCGGGGGTGGCGAATTCAACGTCACCCCCCCCAAGAGGTGACTCAAGACTCCTTCCCTGGGGGAAATCCGCTGCCGGGCGAGGAGCAAACCTGCCACGTTTTGCAGAGACTTTTTGCCTCTCAGCACCCGGCTGCAACTTTCTTTCGGCGTTAGGTGGCAACTGCCCTTCTCATCAATCACGGCTTGTCCTTCTCAGGGGACGGAAGTATGCGCGGCATGAAGCCCCTTCCTCGTCCAGCTGCTCTGGACCGTCTCCTCGGGTCATTTCCGCCTCGAAAGCAGGGGGGGCACGTGGTCGCCTGGGGAAGGGTCCGAGGCTCCATGCGAAGAAGGATGCCCGCATCTTGGCGACCTGCAAGCCCGCCTGGCTTTACACAGGCAGCCTGTGGCACGTGGCGCCTGCAAGGAGGCCCAGCCTGCAAAGTCCTCTGCAGACCCCCCCCAAAAAGACCCCAAGGGATCCTTCCCTAGAGATCCAGGTCTCCCCCCAGCTTTTCTTACTCTGAACAAGGCCAGCAAGAGGTTCCTCATTTGCAAAAGACTGCAGGGCCTCTGCCCCAGATGCACGTGAAGAGGAGGAGCAACAGGCTTGGCAAAAGGGGTGCTACAGCCCTCAGCCCCCCAACTTTGCCCCTCTCTGCAGCCCACCCGCCTGAGCAAAAGGGGATCAACCCATCTTTGATGGCAATGCTAACCAGAGGATCTAAGACACAGATGCAAAACGGGCCCGGAGCATCCTTCTACAGCTCCCCCTTTAAACAAAAAAACTTCCCTTTGCTTTTACGCTGGCTTTTCAACGCCTTCCACACCTGTTGGACTACCCTCCCACTATGGCGGCTGGCCGGGAACCATAGGGCGTGCAGTCCAGCTCAACCGAGGGCGCCATGTTGGGGTAGTCGACCACCCGCTCATGCAAACTAGTCGCCCGGCCTCCCGGGGCCATGATGCAACTCTGAACCATGCATATTCAATAAAAGCATATTCAATAAAGGCATTAATAAACGCGGGAGGCAGAAAACGAAGCCTCGTTAAAAAAAAAAAAAAGCCGTTATTTTTTTCCAACTATGCAGGCGGCGAAAGTCTTTGCAAAAGGGACGCCCCACCCCAAGACACACCTATTTCCTTCCCTTGCACAGGGGAATTGCAAAACGCCTTTGCCGCTAGCTTGCAATGGGGAAAAAAATCTCTCCCCCGCTGCAAAATATTTCCCCCCTCACCGCCGAGCAAGCGCTTTCCCGGCTTACCTGGGGCTAAGCTCTCCGCTGCAGCAGCGCCTAAGAAATAAATTGGAATAGTAGCGCTTTTTGTGTTAAAAAGGAAAGAAAGGACCGAATTGCTGCAACGCCGCCGCCTCGCGCTCCCGGGGAACTGAAGAAGAAGCGGCCGGCGCGCACTAAACTATAGCCCGGTCCATGCAAATGAGATGCCTTCGTCGCGGCTTCCCATTGGCCGCCCGAGGCTGCCTGCTGTCCGCCGATTGGTCGGCGGGCCTCTCGCCAGCTCGGCCTCTTGGCGCGTGCGCTACGTGCCCGGGGACCTCCTGCTCCAAAGCAGCCGGGCGGGCGGGCCTAATTTAGTTTAGTTTCTTTTTTTATGTCTTGCGCGAGGGATGGAAAATCCCCATTTTGTAAAGCGCCGGGAGGGTTTTTGCACGCGGTTTTTCCCCCTCTGTTTTTTTTTTCCCCTCCATGCAAGATTTGCAAAGCTGTGCATTGGGCAGCTTGAAAATCGGAATTATCTTGCACAGGAAGAATCATTTTAAGGTTTGGAGCTCCAGGAATGGGGCTGTTTTGTAGAGTGGAGGACGGTGCTCTTATATTCTAGTTTTTTTTTTAATGGTACAGAATATTCCAAATCCCGAAAGCTCTTTCTTTGTTCTAAATGTCCATTTCTGCAAATTAAATAATCCAGAAGACTACAGTTAAATACAGAATTTAGTACTAAGGAAGTCAAACTTTTAAGCAGGAGCTGAACTGGGTAAAAGTGTAGCTGTAAATGGGTTTAAGGCTTTTTTTCAAATTTTTTTTAATCTCATGCCTTTGGTTTAGTATTTCTTACTGTTCCTGTGCTTTGCTTAATGTTTGCTCTGAAAGGGAACTGTCTGATAGATAAGATATGTGTAAAATTTAAACCAAAGAACTTGCTTATTTTAGAATTCTAAAAGACTGCTTTCCAAACTTCAGTTCAGTTACTTTAATACCTATAAAATGTCAGTTTAATGCTTGTTTCATGCATATACAATTTCAGTTGAATTACTTATTTAATGCCTATAAAACTTCCGTTTAAGTACTCGTTTGATGCATATAGGGTCATGCCACCTGGTCCAAACAAGGCATTTGATAGGAGACTTTTTTTTTTTAAATGCAGATTAAAAATAATGAGAAAACCCCCCTCTAAGCCCCCTTTTTGGCCTAACTTGCCCAGAGGGCTGTTATGCAATTTAAAAAAAAAAAAGCAAAAAAAATAAAACTTTAAAACTTTGAAAAAGGTGGTCCTCTGCACTTTTTGACACTTTCTGAAATCACAACCCACTGGTCCTAAACCCCGGTTAAACAAGACAGAGTCTTCACGTAATAGCTGGTGCCCAGACAAATAAACCATGTTATGGGTTAATAGGAAAGTTGGATTAAACCAATGGCCTTCCACCAGATGTTAGGGCCAAGCACGCTTGTTTGCTCCGGGGGATGTATTAAACCCCTGCAGGAATTTACGTATTCAATGCAGAAATATGAAATGGCGTTCACCCCTTCTGAGCGGTTTCACAAAACGGATTCTGCTCAGCCTTACAAGCCTGCAATGGAGGAAGCAACAAGCAGATCCAGTAGCAATAAAAACATCCCTGCAGAAAATGTTAGTTTTGGGCAGATGCTGGAATTCATCCTCCCAGCATCGTTTCTTTTAAACGAGAATGTAGTGTGTGGACAGGCAGGGCAGGGCCTGGCTCGTTTTTCCTTTAGGCTCGTGCAGCGACTTCTTTTTCCGTGAAAAGGCTCCTGGCACAATTGAGAATTTTTGCAGCTGCTTTTGAAAAGAAGCGGGCTTCTCGATCCGGAGACGGGGCCAGGTTTGTGAAAGATTTGGATATTTTAAGGATATGATCTGCGGGCATCTGGGCTGGAGACGCTTCCTCTGGCACACCGGCCTGATTTGAATTCTGAAATAGGCAATGCATCAGCCTGAAATAGGTAAAAAATGGGGGGGGTTGAACTTAGAACATCAGGCCACGTGCTGGGAGCAAATCACACTGAAGGTTGTGGCTTCAGAACACACGTGGAATTGTGCATGGCCAGGACTGCAAAGATAAGGCGTGGAAATCTAAGGTTTGCAGCCCGTGCTAAAACCAACATAGTTTATTTGCGTCCCAGCTTGGCATCTTCTGCAAACCCAGCTACTTGGGGCTAAATCAAAAGTACGGTTCAACCCCACCTGCCTGGTGAGCGAACCTGAGCATTATTTTGCAAGTCCAGATAGATTTAGTCACAGAGCCCTACAAAACATGGGAGCAGGGACATAGGAAATGGGGAAAGTTGGCCAGGGGAGATGAAAAGTTGGCAACGGAGTCCGCTTTGGATCTGACTCTCTCTTGTGATGTCACAAAGACAGGCCGATGTAGCACAGAGAATGTTCGCCGTCACCGTCGGCAAAAACTCCGCGGCTGGTTCCGTGTCAATGGCTCTCAGTCCACACCAACCCACCAGACCAGGGTTTAATTCCTTGACAAACATTTCTCTCCAGATTGCCTTCCTTGTGCAGATCAGGAGCGAAACGTCCACGGCTTGCTGAGAAAAGCCTCCGGAGAGCGTTGCAATCCCACCGGAACGAGGAAGAATCGGGGCCGGCCGAGTAATCGAACGGGAACTCGGCTTGGGGTCGGCCAGGGCGCATCGCTAGGTCGGCACAACCTGGGAACATCTCCAGCTCACCTTCAAGAGGGGTTTGTTATCCTGGTTTGTATTTGGTTTTTTCTTCCCGAGGTGGACCTCGGTGCCCGCCTGCTCCCGGATGGACGGGTTGCACCTCCGTGATCTCTGCTCCTTTTTTCTATTGTGATAAAAGCCCCCCATGCAGGCCCCCAACCCACCATGAATCCCCGCCTGGGGGTGAGGGACTAAGCCATAAACCATGGTTTGCCAATCACGGCAATGCCATTCACGCCTCCCACGAAGCCCAACTCCAACAAACCGTCATGCGGCTTAGGGTGACTTGTGTAACTCCTTCTGCCCAGTTCCCAAAAGAAATCCCCCTTGCCAACCTGGCCCTTTTCCTCCCTATCTTGGACCAAGGAACGGCTTTTCCCCTTAAAACGATTCTCGTCTATAACTGATGCCCGTCGAGGCCACGATAGAACATTTTTCTCTGCTTTCTTCCACCGCCTCTCCCTTCCATCTGTGCCTCCAAAAATGATTGCGTTCGTCTACCCACCAGCGGCAAATGGACCGGCTGGCATTTGAAAACATGCAAAGAAAAAAATCTCATGTTCAGATGAAAACGGCATTGTCTTTGATCGGCGGATGTCGCCGGAAACGGCACACAACCCATGTGAAATGTAAAAAATAGCAGAGCTAAAGGAAGGGGTACCGACACAACTAGGCTGCTTCCAGAAAATATAATTATTCCTTTCCGTCCTTCCCCCCCTTCTCCGACCTTGCCACTTGTATTGGGTAAAATTCTGTTCATTTGGGGGATCGATCTTTCCAAAATGGGGGATTTTGGAAGGGGCTTGGTTTAGCTGGCGTGGTCTGCATCAGAGCAGAGAATCGGGGGCCACAGTTAGAAAGCGGGTTGGGGTTGGAATAAATCAGGATCGTTTGGGGTTTTATTACTGGCGGTTTTCCCTGAGCGTTTTAACGCTGAAGGATCTGCAGATCAAGATGCTGTTAAGGCCCCCAAGCAGGTTCTCTCTTCCCCATTAAATTGTAATAAATGCAGCCAAGTAAACACGAGAAAACTTGATTTTAGGGGAAGGGAGTTTAGCCTGGCGAGGGTCTCGCTCGACCCGAGTCCGGAGTAGATTGTTTTAGGCCAAGACTGTCTTCTTGGAGAGGGCAGCCTGGTCCATACGTGGCAGGAGTTCAGCCTGGCCCTTCGGCTGGAAAATATCGGCTCAGCCCCTGAACTTTAGCCGTTACCTAATGTAGACAGACAATAAAATAAAGACGCCTGATCTCTCTGCATTACAACAGACGGGACTGGACTTTACGTCCTGCTGAAATAAGGCTTTGTGGTTCAAGTTTCTCCCCAAGAAGAAAAGTTAGCCAGCTTTGCATCTAGAAAGCTAGCCCCTCAGGGAATGGTTACGCCTGAGATGCTCGCTTTTACTTGCAGAAAAGCTTGTCTGGGGAGGAAGCCCCCCACCTCCAGCCTGCAAAGCACAGGGTCTGTTCAGCCACCCCGTTGCAATACAAAAGCTTGCTTCCACCTGCCCCCTTCCAAACTGGCACTTTGCGTGATGCCCAGCCAAGAGGGAATTATGGCCCGTAGCATCTCGAGGGCCCCGAGGTGAGGCAGGACGTCCCGGGGGCTGTAAGAATGGCTCCTCTGCCCCCCGCATCGGGTTCGCTGGGCCTGTTTTAAGGCAGCTTTCCAAAAAGCTTGCAAAACGCCAGCGTTTTTGGCTTGCTCGGCGGAGCAATAGAATGTGCAAGAGCAGGGATCATCAAACGTGGGCCCGGAAGGCATTTCCTAATCCTGCAAATCCAGTTGGGTAAATAGTCCTTGAAAATTGCTGACCGAGAAGGTCCAGCAATTCAGACCAGCCCCCGGGTTCCCCCCGGGAGACACAAACAGAGGACGTCCAGGCTCCTGAGTCGCATCCGAAAATTTAAACTCTCCCTTTCAGCAAGGGGAAGCGTGCAGCCTTTCAGAGCCCGGAAGCTCTGGTTAGGGTTTGGATGGGAGGCCACCAGGAAATGCCCGGGTTGCGAAATAGATGAAGCGGAAGAATCTCCCCAAAGAAAATAAACAGCAAATGAATTCTTAGTTGCCAAAAACGCGGCACACACAAGCCCGTGAAACCCCCAGGAACTGAGCTTGGCTGAAAGGAAAATTCATCTTTTAGATGTGTCGGGCATAGCTCGAATTGTCGAGGGCTGCGGGGGCCTCTGTTTTTCTCCCGCCAAGTGGAGAATTCAGATTCCCTAAAGCAGGGTTTCTCAAGCTTGGCACCTTGAAGATGGGTGGACTTCAACTCCCAAGGAGTCCCTGGGAGGCTGGGGAATCCTGGGAGTTGAAGCCCACCCATC